CTGCACTAAAGTGCAAATAAAATTCAGGTGTAGGTGGAGATATAAGACCAACAAGGCTAAAATCATGCAATGAATAATGAATGATCAAATAAATAATAATAAATGAATCAAATACTATACAAATTTAAAAAATTCGGGCAATATATCACTGAATGTTTTGGGATCACTTGGATTGTGAGAAGCAGAAAATACCACCAACTTCTAGGACTGAACATGACAAAATATAACTGCAGAAATCTTCAGAAAAGAATGGAAGCTTTAATAAAGGAAAATAGGGAACACACTGAATACGGAAAAAAAATATATTAAATTTAGTTGTTGAGTTTTATGTGTAATTTCTATTAAATATACACAGATGAGCTGAACCATTACGACCACCTGCTTTATATCCTGTTGATCTTCCACGTGCTGCCAAAACAGCATTTTTTGGTGCTATATAGAACCCTTTTTACTAAAGGTAGCAATCGAGAATGTGTTTTTACACTGGTCTCTGACTTTTGTGCAGTACTGAATGTTAGAAACATGTATAGACTTTACATATTTGACCTGAATGTGTTCATATTTCTTACAATCTTCTCCTTCTTGCAACACCATAGCAGATAGATAAACAATGCACAGTGGATAGCCTTTTCCTATAGAAATGTAGTTGTATTGTTCTTTGAGCTTGCACATCTTGCAGTGGAGTCAGTATTGTGTAGCACAGTGCTACATGGCAGCAGGCTGATCACAGAGGACAAGGCACCATCTGGGAGGCAACTGTTAGTGTCTCTGCATTGCTGACAGTAAGAAACTGACATATTGGGGACTTGGGAGGAAGGCTGGGCAACATCACTTTTGTCTAGCTCTTTTTAAAGAGTCCATACCCTACATTTTTCTCCCATTCCACTTCTAACATTTGCTTGGTTTTAAGCACCAAAATATTACATAACCATTTTTCAGCTAGAATTAAACAGGCTATTGTTGTTACAGTGCTTTTAAGACTGGTTTTCATGAGGTCACAAAAACAAATAATTCAAACTGTATTTTTTTCTTGAAAGTGAGAAAACTCTGTGTTCCAAGATATGGGCCCCTTAAAACACTCAAAGAATTCATGGCAATTTATTCCTTTCCCTTTGGACTTATTTATTTAGCTTTTTTTTTAATCCAATTTCATGTTTTAATTACAGGTTTAAAAATAAAATAAATCTACACTTTCTAAAGTCAAAGGAACCCACACACCAAATTATCAGGTTATCAGGCACCACTGCCATAAAAGTACAAAGGAATAAATAAAATATAATATAATAATTCTATATAATATAATATAATAATTCTATATTTTATTATATTATATATTGTGAATTGTAAATATATTTATTTTTTACATGCAAATATATTTGCAAATGCAATATTACTGATGATATTGTATATTAGGTCAGACTACAGCTCATAATCATGCAGTGATGAAAAAAGGAAAGAATGTTTTCAGTCTATTAAGCTGTCTTCAGTGCTTCTAGTTCTGGATTCAAAATTTCCTATTATATGATATTACTACCATCCTGGGGCTGTGACTGCCCACCTGTCCACTCAATGCTCAGAGAAATGCAGACTGTCCAAACACTTTTGACTCAGAACATTAACCACTTGTCTTCCTACACACTATCTAGACAATTAATTGATCATTTCTACTCTGTAAAGGGAAGATAGTGACCTCTACCATCCTTTGAGGGCAATTCCATCTCCCCTGGACTCTGGAACAACTTGAATTCGATCTAAATTATAGGCTATATAATTGCCTTAAAGACAGGGTCATTCATTCTGGTCCTGGAGTGCTGGAGTCTGGCTATCTTTGGTGAACACACCTACTTAACCTGGCGATTAATTACCAGAAAAGTTGAATCAGGTGAATCAGAGCAGAGAAATTATCTGTGTTGGACCTGCCCACCAGAACTAGAGCTGGACACGCTTTAATCCTCTGGGATCCACAAACATGCTTGTGTGTCAAATTCAATGTTTCAACACGTGTTATGCTTAGTTATGACTAAGAAATAATTGCTATCAAATTATTACACGCTTTTGTTATTTTCCAGCAATAACTGACTTCTGAGGTTTAAGGAGAAACGTAGTTTTAAAAACAGAAGTAGCCATTTTTGGCCTCTGTGTAAAGGAGACCTGACAGGAGTCTTGAGGAAGATTTAAGCCAACCTGACAGCAGCCTGAAAAGATTTTCTGCTCTCAGGTTCAAAATAAGCCGTTTCGCTAACTGTCTGCAAACTTTCATAATATATTGATTTTTCAAAAAAGTTACATGAAGTGCACCTTGAACAAATAAATTAAATCACCTAGCAACAGGGCTCAAATTGTGCCAGAACAAGCTGGATCTGGATTTGATCCAGCACCTATTTTAGCAGATCTGGCACCTTGTTTACTTGTTAAATGTATTCATCTTTAGAGATGTATTAAAAAAAATCATAATAGTATTTTCTACTCCACATATCGGAGAGCACTGTACATTGTCGACTCCTGTTTGGGTGTGCATGGTAATGAAAACAACACAGATGCTGTTTATCGCTCGCGAATGCTCCATCACTGCTGTAAGTGCTTATCCATTGAAATAGCTCAGTGATGCTGCACAAAACCACTGGCATTTGTCATTGGTTAATTAATCTCATGCTACTACTAAACTGTTTGTATAGTTTAGGTTTACTCTCAGTGTTTAAGAGCCTTGTCAATATAGTCGTTAATCATGGGATTCAACTACCATTCTGGGACCTTATCATTTACAAAAAGTCCAGCCTGTCATGCTTGTCAGCTATCAGTCGAACTCTAACTATGTTACAAACTCCAATTCCCAAGATCCCTCAGTTTGTCATGTGACTCCGCCAACCAATCATTCGTCAACCTGCAGATCCCATTCACTCGAGTACTGCTTGTTTTCACCTGTTTGCTTGTGTATAAATGTCTGGTTCACTCTTTCTTTGTGAAGTATTGCCCCTGTGTTGTCAGTGCGTACTGCTGCATATCCTGTTATGACTTTGCTTTGTCACTCATTGTCGATTTTCAGATTTACCCCTTTGGCTAAGATTACCTGTTTATTGGCTCTTTGGTTTCGACCCTTGCTTGTTTATCTACTTTGGTTTTTGCCTTGTCCTATGTATCATGTTTTGCAGTTCTGGTTTTTGACCTGGTCTGGTTTAAATGCTATTCTTTTGAACAATCCTCATTTCAGCAACCTTATGGTTTATTTTACGTCTGCGAGTGTCTGGTTCATCAGCCCAGCATTACTGGCCAAATAATCACTGTAATCTTTTCCCCTAGGGCAAAATGAAAAACATACAAAATCTCAGATAAACTAAATATTTCATTACAATATAAATTAGGAATTATACTAAAATTTCATAGAGTGAAAGCAGTAGAAATTGTGATATGCATAGTCTTCCTTTTGAATAACAATTTCTTAGGTTGTGACTTAAGCAGGCCTAAAGTTTTATTACACACTCTCATAACCTAAGAATAACTCAACCAGTTTGCACTGCAGTCTCTGTAGTAACTGAATAATAAACCTCAGGAGGTAAAAAGCCTGGGATTTCATGGGGTTAAATAAATAAATAAATAGTCAATGTGTTCTCAGTTTTAATACTGTTGGAACATTATCTCTAATCAAATTACATGATTGTGGGAAAAATAGACAATATGAATTGATTAGTTTATGGTGAGTTTTCTGATGTTTGGGTTAGGAATGTCTCAGCTCTTGACAAGCTCTCACTTGTGTTAATGAAAACTTTTACATTCACATTTCACATTCAAAAGGAATTCATGTAGAATTAACTTTTTACTATGCAGTGATCTTGCTTTTAAATGTTTGTCACTGTCAAACAAACCTCTGTATTTCCAAACTAGAAAGGAAATGTTGTAAGCTATTGTAAAGAGATTTACAATTACTCTTTACAATATTTATCACACAATGTAAAGGGTGGCTGGTGTTTTTCAAATGCAAATTTTTGTTCCAGCAGCAATATTATGTAATTACATTGTAATAAGTAAATGTTTTTTACTTTAAACTAATAAAATGAGTAGTTCTCAATTATTGGTATATTCTGTGTGTAAATGTATCACTGTTTTATCCTATTGTCAATGTATACAAGTGTGTAACATGTATATTGAATGTTTGATACTTTTCTATGCCCTCCACTTTTGAGACCTAATTTCTTGTTGGAGTGGTTGCTGTTAGGTTATTAAATGTGTTTTAAAGCTTATGGTGTGTGTGTGTGTGTGTGTGTGTGCATGTTGGAAGTTTTCTACAATGTTTTTGTCTGTGTCCCTTATTGCTGCTGTTATAAAACTGGCTGCTATATTTGGTTGTGGTTTGATGCCATTGGCTCTGTATCACATCTGGGTTCTTCTGTCACTTGTTGTATTTCAGTCCAACAACACCCTGACGTTTCACATAACTTGTGCTGTCCTGTCAAGCAGTATGTTTTTTGTCTAAATTGTGAAATTTTATATATATATATATATATATATATATATATATATATACACACATATATATACACACATATATATACAACAACCCAATAACTGCCCAAACTATGTTGATGTATTTTATTCATGTGAAAATGATGTGCACATTTGAGTCATATAAATTCAGTACATGATTTTTCAGTGTCATTACTAATAATGAATTATAAACCAAAATGTTAAGGGGTTAATATCATCACACTTGCCATTTTATGCCTGAAGTGTTCCCTCTTTAGCTGCTGGTTGACCTTTCTGACCCCCCCTTGTGGTTGCGGGCCTGTTCTGCTGGAATGTTGAGTGAGTATAGTGGCCGCTGGTCAGAGATTAGGCCGCTGTGCCACCCCTCCTCATTCCATTCCAGAGTGGGCTTCCCTCCAGATCCACGCTGGGCTTTTATCTGAGCCCGGGTGACCGTGATGGATGGACGCAGTGGGCACGGACAGACCCACATATGAGGGCAGAGAGGGAGCGGCCTGTCCTGGCTTGCTGCTATAAAGCTCCTGGGGGCTGTGCCCTGATCTCCACCGAATCCCTGAGGTTCCACCACTCGTCTGCTGCACGTCTCACAGCCCAGGCACCATGAATGACATCTACAAAGCTGCGGTGAGTGTTTACATGCTAGAGCGCTGCCGGCATCACGGCCTTTAAGGTTTTAATGGTGTAAACACTGAAAGGTTCTGCTCTGCATGAAGATTCTCTTTGAAGAATCTCCTAGACTTAGTCTATTTTGGAGGAACCTTTCTTACTGTTAGAAAAAGTGCTTCTTTGAGGGGTTTTTAGTTGAGGCAATGGTTATAAAACAATCAAATGACTGTTTGAATGCATAAATGGTTCTTTGTGTGGTTAAATAGTTAAATGGTTCTCTATTCTATATATTGGAAAGCCTGTAGTAAATGGTTCTTTAAAGAACCAGTTAAAATGGTCCTACCTCGAACCATGACACCTCAAAAAAGTATGAATACTTAAATGGTTCTCTGCATAATTAAGTGGTTCTTCTCTATAATGGAAAGCCTATATTATGTTGTTTTTCATAGAACATTTTAAAAATGGTCCTATATCCTATAATGGGCCTATATAGTCTTGTTTCACATTATCTTCCGTAAGTAAACAAATTCTTAATCTCTTAATTATAAAAGGCCCCTAAGTAGACCTGCATTTTTACACTGTACCGAAAATTTTGGAACCAGTGCTTTTTCCACTGGCAATTAGTACTGAGTAGCACTGAAGGTTCCAGTTCCATGTTTTTTGGTACCTGATCAAGACTGGACCTAATGGGTTCTCCTTTGCCTTTGGTAACACTTACAGCTGAAGCCAACCTTAACTTTATTCATTCTTTACTCTTCTAGGTGGTGATAAAGTAACCCAGAACTATTACATAATCAATAATAATATAATAAAATATGACATATACTGTTGTTAAGAAGTGAACACTAATGCTAGTCTCCACAAAATGACAATTTTGCACATTTTCACACTCAACAAAGAAAAATATAATACGGGGGTAATAACCCATAATATTCATGTCAGCACAACCAGTGTTGAGCTAAGCTAATTAGTAAAAAAGATAGCAAATGTGTCAGTTTATGCTCAAGAGAAAAAAACAAGCTTTGTTTGACTCTACATATGTATCAGTAAAAATGTAGACATTTTTGTGAATATGTGGCCAGAATAGTCTGGTATATAGTTGCATGTCAGCCTAAAGTTAACTGGCATGCAAGTTAGCTAATTAGCCAAATTAGGTGCTTTAGAGTGGCATAAAATTACCAAATAGACAATGAAATTGTTAATTGTGTTTCCAGCTGACGCTCAAGCAGGTGGAAAATGGGCTAGAACTAGAACCATAATTTCTGCTGGTTCGTTTGGGTCAGATCTTGTAATGGAAAAACGCTTAAGACTACTGGCATTACAACAACTGTACTGAGATTGTAGACAATAATATGCCCATTCAACACAACTGTGACTTCATTCAAGGTCCTTCTATGTCCTAATGCTTAAGTAAGAGATGTGATAGAATTGTCTTTAAATATATTCACCCTTGAACACTATCAGAGCTGAAAAGAGGCACTTGATAAGGCCTGTGGTTCCATGCTGTGACTTCATGCCTACACATGGAGTGGCCACTGCTTTTCCCAGGCTAATTTTGGCAAGTTCTTCACTTTCCCCTGAATGTGTTTACATGACAGAAAGCAGCGGAGCTTAAGATAAAACACCCACAGCCAAAATTCCTTCACTATCTGTGCTTACGAGGGTGCCTTGTGCTATCTCCCACTGATCTCTCCCTGAAAAACATATGGGTGTGTGTTAGAGCATGGAACAGCGGAACACTTTGGACTGGCATATTTATGAGTCAGCATCAGCCGTATAGTTTGTGCCGGATCCGAGTAGGCCTACAGACGATAACTCTTACTTAAGCAGCTGTCACGCTCCCTCATTCGCGGTAGCTTTTTCAGGATTACCGCACCATTGTTTGGGCCCATCCGCAGCTCTGCTAATTTAAAGCACTTTGTATTGTCTCCTTTATCTGTGGTTTCTTAACCCGCACGCTGCTTTATTTTTAACTCACGCCCTGATCATAGCTCTGTCCCCGCGGATGAAATATGGGTTTGAGTTGGAGGAGAGGAAAATAAAAACAAGTGTGCCTCTGACTGACAATGAGACAGCTTCCCTACTGTTTTGCATTGGAGAATGTAGGTGGAATAGCGGTAGATCTTTGAGGGGAAGAAAATGGGGGCAGAACTTCATGCTTCAGATGCTTTGTGTGTGGGTTTGTATTCATGCATTTTCAGGACAGAAGTGTCCTGACTTTGTAGGAAACGGGGCTGAACAACAGAACCACCAAAAAACTTTGAAAGGAAGCTTCGTGTTTAATTTTTAATACTGATTAAAACCACTGCTTACTGAGTTGTTGTGAAAACTGCACTATATAACTGAAAGAAGTAGCATCACTAAGTCAGAAGAAAAAATACACACTAAACTATGGTGTGCGTGCACCACTGCGAGTCGCCCAATGGTGCAATTAGGTTCAGATTTAGGCTTGGAAAATTCTTATCACATATAGGCCCTTACATGTAAGTGGAAATGGGGGAAATGCCATCCTTTATAACATTGCCGACTTACTGTAAAACCATTTCTGTGTGTGAGTTTATCATTGACAGGACGATGCTGGTGCATAAACCTACAAACAGTTATAGAAAATAAACTGGAACTGCTGTCAACTTTGATTTTATAGGACAAAAAAGAAAACCTTGTAAAGGAATGTCTTGCCCCACTCTAAGGCAAGATGCCCCTCTATCTGGGGAAAGAAGCTGCGTAAATGTTGAATCAGTTTGCCATCTAAGTTTTACATAATTCATAATGTATATGTCAAATCATTTCTCGTCTTTGCTTTTTTCAAATTATTAACCAAAGCAAAACACTAAAGATATTATATTTCAAAATGAAATCTAGGCCTCTAGCATATTATGTGTTAATGATTCCTCTACTGATTATATATGGAATTTATTATTATTTCATATAGGCAATTACATGTCAATGATGTCATAACAAAATCTAAGGAGAATGAAAAAACATTCCAAAGTTGAATGGAATTTTGCAGCATTTCTATTGGACCATTTGATATTAAATTTGAACATAATCTAAAAGGAAATACAATTTACATATTATTACATATTATTATTATGACGTTTATATATATGTATATATATGTGTATATATATATATATATATATATATATATATATATATATATATATATATCCTGACAAGGTATGAAAAATCAGTGTGGTGCATATATGTCAAAAATGTAACTATATTATTTGCTTTGTCTTTATCTCTACAGGTAGAGCAGCTCACAGATGAGCAGAAAAGTGGTAAGTAGAATGAGCATCTCCTGCTGTCTGTTCTGTGAGAGCAATGTTGTTCTATCAAGAACTATATTGGTATCATCAAACTGAGACACTATCATGAACCTGTCAAAGCCTAAAGGAATCTGTACTATTACAAGTTTTATTATAGTTATAAGACTAAATGTAAGCGATAGTTCAGTGAAAAATTTAATTTGCACAATTTCCTCATTACCTCAAATCAGTCAAGACATGTTTGGTGTATGAAGTTTGCTAATGTAGCTAATAAGTTAGGAAACGTTATAGCTGTCAATTAGCACTGCGCAAACTGCATTGAGAGAGTGATAAAAGCACTGAGCCTGGTGTCTTCACTAAACAACTGTGCTTTAAAAAACTGTAGCAGAGAGAGCTCTCACACTGAGCTGTAGTCAATAAATGGTCAACGACTGTCCTGTGCTACAGAGTTTCGGGCGGCCTTCGACATCTTTGTGCAGGATGCTGAGGACGGCTGCATCAGCACTAAAGAGCTGGGCAAGGTGATGAGGATGCTGGGACAGAACCCCACTCCAGAAGAGCTGCAGGAGATGATCGATGAAGTGGATGAGGATGGTAAATACAGGGCAATCAACCCCTAGACCACTCACTATAGGCCCTTACTTAGTGACCACATACCTTTCTCAATTAGAGTACACACTTATAAATCTAGAACAGTGGCTTGCGCAATATTTTTAGAATAGCCGAAAATTTCAACCTGGCTTCTTCAGACTGCAAAGGGTATTTTATCATGAACTGATGTAGACATAATAGTCTAATATTTTAAACATGCTGTGGTCTGCCGGCCTATTTGACAGTTTTCATGAGCCTATTGCTCATATTTAAAAGCATACATCAGTGATGATTTTTTATCTGGTACCAAGAAAGGAGTTATGTAAGTGGCCATTTCCACCAATGAAATGAAAACTGACTCAGAAATTTTTAACTAGTATAATAAAATGAAATAGTTCCCCCATAACTCTATGATCAGATTGACCAGGACACTGTTGTCTCTGTGTGTGAAATGTGTGAAAACACAATAAAAACACTTCTTTAAATGTTAACTTGCTTACTCACCTACAAAGATGAATCCAGTTTGCTTCCAGTTCTGTAAATCATACACATTTTGGTCAAAGTATATTCCATATATTCTATGTGGAAATAGATTTTATGGTTACTGTGATAAAAGTGTATTAGCTTAATATCTATTACCTAACATTGCATTTTGAATGTTTGTAGACGTCTACTATGAACATTTGCTAGACGTTTTAAAACATAAATGTTTATAAACATACATCATTAATGATTTTGAAAAGGATATAATGCACAATAAAGTTATGATTATGCTGGACTACTTGCATGCTGGTTTTGTTTAGCACTATGACTATTGTCAAGGCTGCTGTTACTAACCAGGCTAACTTACAGCCTGCTTTTAGCTATGCTAAAACTTCAGCTTTGAGGCTGTGTCAAAGCAAAGTTCTGATCCATAATTTGTTTTGATAAAAAATATAATTAATAAAAACAAAAAAACTTGGGAAAAACCTAATGGATTATTTGGCCAAAACTAATTGTTATACAAGCAACCTACACATCTGTGCTTCAAATGAAAACGTAAACTTTGTTTTCAGGACCTACTGTTTACGAACAGCCAACAGTCAATAAAATCTATGGCAAATTTATGCAAAACACAAAAATTCAACCCAATTCTGTGTTGTTAGACCTAGATGACCTTTCCTATGAGTTATGTGAGATGAGCTACATGAAAATATAAGCATAAAAATAAATATAATTCACAAAAAAGAGAAAAATGTGTCAAATGTGACAAATTTGCAACTAGAACAGCAAACATCAGCATGATAAAACTGACATATGTTTTATGGATATGACATCTGTAGTACATTTTTGATAAATCTGTTTTGATAAAACTTATATACAAAATATAAACAGTTTAGAACGTTTTAAATTGGGGATACGGGCCTCTTTCAGTGAGAGGCTTAGTTGTAACACTGCGTTAAAACTAACTCTGCCATGTGAAGGCTGTATGTTAGCCTGGTTAGTTCTCACTGAGTGTTGTTTAAATATTACAGTCACCTTACAGTATAAATTCTATGACTTATATACACAACTTCGTGATCAAACACAATTTTTTTTGTTGAAAAATTACTTCTATTGTACAAAAGCAGTCTTCAGGGTGAACATTGAGAACCACTGTCTATCTGATTGCTGTGAAAATTCACAGATGACGTTTCTATGGTAATACGAGATGGCCAAAAGCACTGCTACTTAAGCCTGTTTAACTACATAAAAATCCATGTTACGCTTTAAGTTGTGTCCCACTCTCCCCTTTATAAATTTTAAGCAATATCCAGTGGGTATGCTGAGCATATATTTAGGGCACCAAAATGGCTGCGTTCACATATATGCAAAAGTTTGGGTGCCCCTGGTCAACTTACATGTTACGTTGATTTTCTAAGTGCAAATAAGTTAACACATCCTCTACAGGGAACAAATTTAAATATGGCATTTTCTGCAGGACTGCACAATTTCTATTTAATTTCTGAGTTTAATGTAGTGTAAAAAAACCATATCATATTATATATGTCATTATATTTGGACATGCATTTTGCCTTTTTTTGATTTGTTAAATTCAGCAAATCAGCAGCAATTGTGCATTCAAATGTGCAGAAGTATGTTCTTTATAGAGGATGTGTTAACTTATTTGAACTTGAAAATCAACAAAATGTCATTTTACTTGGGGTGCTCAAACTGTTTTTACATACCTTTGACCCAGACTAATTTGTCTTCAGGCCTACCATTCTTTACTCAGTCTGGGCCCATCTATGTGAAAATGAAACCTACTGCATTTAAAGGAGCATCTTCAGATATAGAAAAATGTAAAAGAAAACTGCAGATGAAACATTAAATCAGAGTGATACTGATATACTACATTCACTTGCTGCACCTTTAAAGGGAATTGTAAAAGCGTGTTGGGTTTGTTTCCGCAGGCAGCGGTACGGTGGACTTTGAGGAGTTCTTGGTGATGATGGTGAGGTGTATGAAGGATGACAGCAAAGGGAAATCAGAGGAAGAACTGGCTGAACTCTTCCGCATGTTTGATAAGTATGCCTGACTTGTATAAACACAGTGAGTGAATAGCTTTGGGAGCAGCTTCCGCAGGTTTGACACAGCTGATGTTTGCGTGTGAGCAGGAATGCGGATGGTTATATTGACCTGGACGAGCTGAAGTTGATGTTGGAGGCCACGGGGGAGACCATCACTGAGGACGACATCGATGAACTGATGAAGGATGGAGACAAGAACAACGACGGCAAAATTGACTATGACGGTGAGGGTCGATTCTGGAGGTCAAAAACTGGAATAATGAGATTAGCTGTGCTTGTGTGTGCCTGTGGGTTTGTGTGTGATAGCATGGGTTTGTAATCTTCTATGAATTACACATAAAGGTATACTCTTTTGGATTTTTTTCCACCTAATCTCTCACTGCCAAATCTGTATCATACCATCAATTACCACAGATAACAATTTTGGTTCATTTCTCTGTACTGAGTAAAGTGCAGAAAGCTCATCTCATGTCCACGTGCTACCAGGGTTTCTATCACTACACAAAATATGGACGAGGCTTCCTTTATTATTGAATGCACTGAGATTTCTTAGATGTTGCTATTTAATCCCAAGGGTTGCTAAGGGGTTACTAGACCATTGCTATTGTATCCAAGGTTATTGCTTAGGTGTTACTAGGCCATTGCTATGATGTCCTAGATGATTGCTAAGGTGTTACTAGACCACTGCTATAGTATCCCTTTTTATTGCTCAGGTCAGGGGTCAGGGCTCTTTTACTGCCCTGTTGCAGCTCCACAGCAGAATTAGATTTTTAGGTAAAATTAAATAATCCTCCTTTGCAGTAAAATAAAGCTCTGCTGATCATTCTAACACTGTTTTAACAATAAACAGTCTTAAATGCTGGAGTTGTATTATGTATAACTGTTAATTCACCCTTTAACCCTGAGGATTAGCACGCAGACTGCTGTTCACCACAGCAACGCAGGCAACCTCGCTTAGCTAGTAGCTAACGAAAAGACAAAGAAAAAGATTTAGGATAAACATCGATTATTTGGAGCTGAATGGACTTATTTGCCTTTATAATCACTCCAGCTGGTTTCCTGCTATGTTTAATCTGCAACGTGAAACTGTTGAACTCTAAAAAATCACGAAGCAAAGTCAGTTTCTCGTTTGAATTGTTCCATTCCACCTTAAATGGTGCAGCAGTTACATTCAGCATTTAAGGTGGAATGGGAAAATTCGAACAAGAGGCTGGTGAATGAGAAGCGACTTCAGCCTCATGAAAAGTCGAACCCTGAGAGACATTTTACAAGAAACTGTTCTACTTTTGAGGAAAAGTCTGTCTGTAATGTTGATAAGAGGCAGTGTGAGAGATGCTCTTTGTCCCAAATGGAAAAAAAAATATACATGGACATTGGCTTTCATTTCCTATGGGGTAAAAAAAAGTGTGTGAACAATTGTTGTATATAACTGTGTGATTAGACCCAAGCCAACTGAAATAGAATAGTTTTAATAAAAGTCATTGAACAGTTGCCAAAATCTGTGAATAAATATTAGAAGTGCAACTGTGTAACAACAACATTTATACTCTAACAGTACATGCTTTAGTATGAGAGAATGTTAGTTATAAAACAGCTCCAGTTACTTTTGCGTTCCCTAAGATTATCTGGTATTAATGGCAATCAGAGCCTGTGAAAACACCCTTATTACTACACTGGTAACAAATTCTTCTCTCTGGAAAACTAGTCCCATCTTAGAAAGAACACATCATACAAATTTACGGCTTAGTTTTTTTGGGTTTTTTTTCCAGACATTTGCCAATATTATTGCTCATGATAATCATCTGTATGCTATAGATGTGTCAAATAGAGAATAGGTTGAAAAATGTTGGTGTATTCCTTTGAAGCCCCAATCAGAACAACATAGCAGCTCAAAATCAAGAAAAACATATAGAAAGCAGCTGCAGTTAAAATGGATATTAAGTTTACTGTTGGAACCAAACATGATTATATTTTGCAAAATGAAGTTGTAGTTGTTAGAAATCAATGGGCAGTTAGTACAATTGGCAATGTTATTTGTAACCACTACGATGTGATAGAGAAGAATTTTCTGTGCTAATTCATTTCTTATTTTACCATTTGGTTTCAGAGTTCTTGGAGTTCATGAAAGGTGTGGAATAAGTGTCAAAAATGAAAGAAGACTTACCTTTTCGGCTCAACTGCTTCGCACTCAGATTCAAAAGAACGCCAAAGAAAGAGCTTTGTGGTGTATTTATCTCAAACATGTCAATGAGGAGTTCAACAATAATGCAATGTTTATAATTGATAATGCCTGTTTTTTTTATATAAAAGCCTTCTATTTGTGTATGTTTGTAATGTTTGTAACCAGAGTCTAAAGACTGAATGTCTGTAAAAATTATTGTAGCGTGAGCCGAATTGTTTTTTTTTTTATCTGCTTGATCCTAAACAGTGTAGAAAACATTTTACCTCAGGAGGAGTTGGGGCCTTTAGATACACTGCCTTTATCTGGAATCTCTCAAAGATAACATCCAAGATGGCCTATTTTAAAATCAAAGCTTTGTAATCCTTAAAGTTTGCCTTAACAAATCAGCGCTATATGTTAAGTATTTCTCCTTTCTTAGAGGCTAACTCTAGATTTCTAGTAAGTGGAGAAGTAAAACAGGTAATAATTGTGCGCAAACACAGAAGAAAGCGCTCTGTGCCTGAGTTGCCTCTTTTGCTTTGCTGAATTAGGTCTCCAGAAATGATTCAATTTGATTCAAGTTTTGTCTTGTGCTGAGATGGAAATGTATTCAGCGTTTTATCCAGGGAGATGAGTTCTGTTCTCTAAAACTGCACATTTTGTCATTCTGTCTAATTTTCCACAAGAGGTTTCTGGGGAACACTCACATATGAATAACAAATTTAATATTTATTATGAGTATATTTCAGAGCACGCCTGCCAAGCTAAGTGTACACAAAGCTCAGTCAAGTGACCTTCCACCTTCTTTCATGATTCAACTCCATTTCTGTTGGTTTATTTTGCTCTGTTTGCATTGCTGTTTCTGTTTTGAGCTATAATATTGTGCAAAAGTCTCAGGCAGCCATGTAAATAGTTTAAAACTATTTACAGTACTTTGCAAAAGTTGGAGCCCAGCCCATTACCTATATTAATTCATTTCCAGTCAAAACAGCCTTCATTTTTCAGCATGAGAAAAATTTCACAGCAGCTTCAACAACTAAACAGTCACACTTTGCAGTATTTAGTGTGTCCATTCTTTATCTTTATTGCAGCTGCCATTCTTTTCAGGAGACTCTTCTTCAGTTTTTCAAAGAAATCTGCAGGGATGTTTTTCCACATCTCCGAAGTTCAGTCTTAGAAGTTGGTTGCATTTTCTGCTTTTCATGATCCAGATGATCCCAAACACATTCATTGGTGTTGAGATCTGTACGGAGCCCTGCTGATGACGTCCCGTATAAATAAAGATAATGTGTGGCCACAGCTTAGTTGGGAATGAGATAATTAAGCCTTGACCACAGCTAAATAAGACATGAGCTCATTCCCAGGCCTTACAAAGTCATGGCCATGACTTAACTGTCTCGTTCCCAGGCCTTACTAAGTTGTGGCCATGCATTAGGATCTCGTTCCAACACGTTAATATGCTGTGGCCATGCATTATTTTTATTCGTATTGGGTGTCACCAGCAGGGCCCGTAGATCTGGACTATGAGGTTTAAAAATTTGATTTGTAAATTTCCTTTTTTTTAATCTATTTCCTTTTCTTAGTGAAGCTTCTTGACAGCTACACATCCTTTCAGACCCATAGCGCTGAGTTGTCTTCTCACAGTGGAAGGATGGACAGAAACACCTGTGGATGTTTTCAGATCTGAAGCAATTTGATTTTCTCCTCTCTCTCAAAGCTGAAAGCTGTAAATGCTGGATATCTGAAGGGGACAGTTTTGGGGGTCTACCAGGTCTTGCATGATTGTCCATTTTCTCTGTAGCTTTTCATAAATTTTTGAACTCTGAAGGTTTTTTTACTTGACTTTCAGCTTCCTTATGCAAGTGGATTATCTTATATGTAACCTCCTCAATAATACACACACACACACACACGTGCATCATCTAAACCACTTATCCTTCTGGGTTCATCAGAAATATCTTCTGAAAAATGAATAACTTATACTCAATGGCTGTTTTGCCTAGAAATTGAAGAAATAAAAGAGGGTCTCTGACTTTTGCACAGTACAGTATCTTGGGACTAAGTGTGTTTTTGCCAGTAGAACATTATATAACATTAGAAAACTTACAAATAGTCATAAATATAGTAAAACATAACATGAATTTCATGTTTTTTTTATAATGTTATTGATATGTTGATGCAGCTGAAATGCAGTTACAAGAACGTCAGGTTTGGTTCCCTAAACATCAGCCATTGCATATCGTCGCTGTCCAAAGAAAACCATGTATCTCCATTTTTTATTGATTTTTATACATTATACATTTTATACATTTCAACACAACAGCTGTCCATTACATTGTCTGAAAATTTCATGATGAATGGACCAACAGAAATGCTCTAAAATCACTTGGAATACAATCTCTTTACATTGACTTCCATTGAAAGGTAAGAGTGTTTTTGCCCTCTCCTGTAAAGTTACTATTTTGGAGATACTTGTTTTTCTTTGGACAGTGATGATAGATTTGTTCAATTCCAACTGCAAGCATTAATTAGATTAACTTGGTATTGGATGGTAACTGTAAATACTGAGCTTCTTCAAGGAGAGCTTTGGAAATGGTTCAGCTAACACATTTACAACAATGTTAGTGTTTTTTGAGCAAATGCATGTTCCCTGCCCAGATAAATGGCTTTACACGTCATTTTCTAAGTTGCATAAGACTTTTGCACAGTACTGTACATAGAAAAGCGCCCGTTCCAAAGGATGTAGCTCGGAGCCTGTAGCAGGCATGTGTGTAGTTGTATGATTAAGAGCCTGTATCTGGTTACACAATGTATTGAGACAGGAGCTATTTATGGTTAATCCTCACAGTGCCCATGTTTGAAGAGCTAATCTGATGACAGAAGTCACCGTCAAACGGGGTCACAAACAAAGATGAGCGGAGCTTGTTGCTTCGCCTTGGATTATGTAGGCTGCACATGCCCACGTACAAATAAACTTCTGAAAGTGAAGTCTGAGCTAATCAGACTCATTGCCTTCACATCTGTATCGCACCATCATGCATGTCACAGCCATTTATGTCAAAATACTGTAGGCCCAACCGGATCCATGAGGATGAGGTCGACATAATTCCTATCAAGGACAAATAACTGACATTTATCTCATTTACGCCCCTCTTTCGCTGCTGTTGAGGATTATGCACTTAATTACCTCATTGGAGATCGCTGTAAAATCCAAATATAACATAAGTAAACAAGTGCCACGTGAGCACTGCATGAAATCGGGCCTATTGTTGCAATACTGTAATTATAATTATAGCCTATAGGGGGCAAAAGTGGACAAATCACAGGATGCAACTTTAAATCTACAGGAGTACTAAAGTTTAAAGGAGTATTCAGCTTGATCTGCCACATCTTTCTTAATGTGCAAAACTCAGCGACCACCCTTCATTTATTTAATTTCCAGGCAAAATGGTCATAAAGCACAAGTTGTTCAGGAAAAAAAAGCAGAAAAGACAACAAAAATTACATGGAAGCCTCACAGCTAAATATAGTATCAAAGGTTCTATTATTTAGTTTGTCCACACTTCACCTTTATTGAAGCCTCTATTAGTTTGAGGAGACTTACTTTCAGATTTTCCAAGAAATCTGTAAGGATATTTTTCCACACCTCCAAATCTCAATCTTAGAAGTTGGTGGGAATCTAGAGTGGCCTTCTCACAAGGGAAGGATGAGCAGAAACACCTGTGGATTTCTTCAGATCTGAAGCAAGAGTGGAGCTTGGACTCTCTCAAAGATGAAAGATTTAAATGCTGTTTACCTGATGGGGACAGTTTTGGTAGTCTACTAGGTCTTGCAGGTGGTTGTTAGGAGTCATTGTTTGCAGATATCAATCTTTTTTGAACTCCAGTTTTGGCACCTCTTGCTTTTTCCACTTATTTTCCTGTAACTTTCCTTCCTTTCTTATGCAAGTGGATTTTCTTTTATCTAATTTATCTCATATCTAAATCAAATGAATAGTGGTCTCTGACATTTGCACAATGATATATATTTCATTGATTAAGCTTCAGCATCTGCCCATTGGCTTGTATTGGAAGTGTGCCTCTGCTCAACAGGTTTTTCTGTTTTTATAATTATGTGCAACAAATATTATGTTATGTTAAGTATTTATTGGTCATACAAGGGAAATTCATCATTTTGCTGCCTAACTATGCCCAATCTGGGAGCAGCACAGTGTCCGCCTACAAAGCAGCGCTAGCTGGGGCAGTGGAGGGTGAAGTGTCTTGCTCAAGGGCACAACCAGGTATACCTAGTCAGTCGTGGATGCATCAATATTATTGTCTGTGGTAATGAACCGTGTACTACAGATATGGCACATAAAGATTAGACTGAGCGATGCTGAAGTATTCCTTTAGTTTATTATTCGTAAAGTCAAATTCAACAAGAACCAAAGTAGCACACTGTCTCACTTCTATGTGCTAAAAATGGACTTGAATTGGTCAAATATCATTTATAAAGTGTTAGCAAGTGCAGTGTGTGTGTTTATTCACAAAGCTTTACTACTTCAATGAATAAGAGATTGATGAGACAGGAGGCTAATAAGACATCAGCTTTTCTGTTCAACGTCTGTTCAAAGTCTTTTGATAGCAACAAATGTCAACATGCACACTGTTCTAGCAAACAGAGGCTTTTATTGTTACTGCTGCAAATCTACATCTAGGACAAAGCATTTGGCTGTATTTTCCAAATATGTTGAAAAAAATCACTCAGCTCTTTTTATCTAGTGATAATGTAATAAGAACATTGCACATCAGTGTGTCTAGTACATATGCATGTATGAGTATGTGTTGAACATATACTGTAGTGTACATTTGCTTCTGTGTGTGCATAAGAGAGAGGGAGAAAAACAAAAAGGGGAGGAAAAGAGGGGCGGAGAGTCAGTTATGTAAGCCTCGCTGGATGAGTCATTTTGCTCGTCATTAAGACACACTGCAGTCAGATTTTTTTCTCTTTTCTCAAAGAGCCTTGAGTAATCTCAGACTGAGGCAGGGTCTGCTACGTGTGACCTGATTAAGCAAGTGCCCCTCATGCTCAGCAAATGACCTTGGACACCTCTAGACCCCAATGAGGAGGTTGAGAAACCATGGATAATATAATATAATATAATATAATATAATATAATTATT